ATAATTTGCGTCTGAGAGAGGAAAAGTCTAGCGTGGATTATGTACTGATGGTTTCAGCCCATTTGGCAAGCATGGAAGACAGTATTGTGTATGGCCAGTCATTCTTACACCATACAACTTACTGCCAAGCTTGTGTTTGCGTCGAGAGTTTTTGTTTCTCTCCATTCTCGTTCCTGGGCCAGAGCATCCTAAGAGATCACTTGATGTGTTTCTTCAGCCACTAATATATGAGTCGCAACAACTATGGGCTCAAGGTGCAGATACATATGATGTTTCGTGCAAAGAAAACTTTCAAATGCGGGCAGTACTTATGTGGACAATAATTAATTTTCTAGCATATGATATGTTATCTGGATGGACAACGCATGGATGGACAACGCATGGAAGGCTATCATGTCCACATTTTCAAGATAACACAGATGCTTTCCAAATAAAACACGGAAGGAATACGTGTTGGTTTGACTGTCACTGGAGATTCCTACCACCTGATCATCCATATCGTAGGAGTAGGACTTTGTTTACGAAGAACAAGAGGGTGTTTGACAGTCCACCCTCAGAAATTTGTGGGGCAGATTTGTTGACATAGCTAAAAGATTTCGGTGCAGAAAAGACACCAGACGTTGGTGGACATGTTCATTATCCAATAGATGCTGTTGGAGAACTACATAATTGGCACAAAAAAATATTTTATGAGATCTGCCATACTGGAAGGATCATCTGCTGCGGCATAATTTAGATGTTATGCATATTGAGAAGAAATTTTTTGACAATCTTATGAACATGATCCTTAACGTCCAAGGTAAAACGAAAGATAATTTGAAGTCAAGACTAGATTTAGTCGATATATGTGATCATTCCGAACTTCATGTTGATGAGAATGGTAGGGCTCCTGCTCCCATATACCGACTGGATGCAGCGGGAAAAGATGCCTTAGTTGATTGGATTACAAACGATGTGAAATTTCCAGACGGTTACGCATCCAATTTGGGTAACTCTGTAGACAGAAACAAAGAAAGTTTATCGGCTTGAAGAGTAACGATTGCCAATGATGCAGCGCCTCCTTTCGTTTGCCTTCTCGGAGCTATTACCACGAAAGGTTCGTGAAGCAATTACTGGGAGAAGTGCTTTCTTCCGCGATTTATGCTCGAGATCAGTGACTCCAGAAGGTAACCAAAATTTTAAGAATAACATAGCTGTGCTCCAGCGCAACCTAGAGAAGATATTTTCCCCATCATTTTTTGATGTTATGGAGTATCTTGCTATTCACTTGGCAAGAGAATTGGAACTTGGTAGTCCTATGCAGTATAGATGGATGTATCTTTACGAGCGGTATATGTATCATCTGAAGAAGAAGGTCAAAAATTTAAGTAGGGTCGAAGGTTCTATAGTTGCACAGATGATCAATGAAGAAACTTCAAACTTTGTTGAGTACTACTTTCCAGCAGAAGTGCAGACAAAAAACAGAAGACTTGCTCGTCATGATGATAGAGGCGAAAGGGCAACATATTATGTTACGGTTCCAAACATCTTCACAGATGTTGGACGACTTAGCGGAAAACCAAAGGATCGTCGACTTACTGAGCAGGAGCATCATCATTTGCAAACATATTTGCTCACCAACTGTGCAGATATTCTGCAATATGAGAGATACATAAATAATTTTGTTTACAGATTATTATCTTAATAAGTTATAATTTAAGTCTTAATTAATTTCCTTAATATGACCATATTACAGGATTTTCATGGCAGAAAAGCGGTTCACTCATAGATACGCCACAGACGAGGAACTTGAAGAACTGAAGCAGGGAGAATTTGCTGAATGGATGTTTGGTTATGTGAGTTCCTTAGACATTATTATTCATCAATACATAATTATACCAATTCACATATACTGCTATAATATTTTTTTTAATGTATAGGTGTCTGCCGGTATGGCCAGAGGTAAAACATTTGACGATTGGATACGCGAGATGGTGTGTGGGCCACAGCATGTTGTGAAGTCATATCCGATATTTTTTACTCGAGGATATGCATTCACAACTCAAAAGAGAAGACGTTCAAGTACAACTTCTGATTCTGGTGTATCGTCTGCATCAGGAGATGATGTGTACTATGGAAACATAAGCAAAATTTTGGAAATCAAGTATCTGGGCATCGTCTGCATCAGGAGATGATGTGTAGAGTTTTTTTTAAAAAAATTTACAATATTCCGAGGAAGCAGTAGGGGTTCCTCGGAATTCCCTCGAAAATGCCTTATGAAAAATGTATTTGGGGTATATAATTTAAGGTAATATCCCTCGAAATTTCCTCGGAATATCCAGAGGACATTCCGAGAAACGTCCTTATTTCCTCGGAATGTCCTTGGGATATTCCGAGGGACACCATACCTCCTTGGGATTTTTGTATTTATTATTTCGGATTTAATATTTATCATAAAGTTTTTTGTATATAAAATCGGTTTTTGGATTTATAAAAGATTTTTATATTTAGTAAAACTATTTTCAGATTTATTTAAAAAATTCATTATTTATAAAACTATTTTTATATTTACTAAAACTATTTTGGATTTATTAAAACTATTTTTGGATTTATTAACACTATTTTTGGATTTATCAATCTTTTTCTATATTTGTAAAACTATTTTTGGATTTATTAAAACTATTTTTTTGATTTATTAAATCTATTTTTGAATTTATAAAACTTTTTCTATATTTGTAAAAAGATATTTGTATTTAATTTTTTATATTTTATTTAAAATAATTTTTTTTTAATTTTTGCTGGTCTGGTAATGATAGTCAGGAGAGGTCTCGCCGTTAGACACCACGAGGTCGGGGTGGTTCGACGGGCACCTCTCGTGGTTCTGCATCTTTGGAAAACCAATATCTCGACGATTTTCCTCGCGCTCCAGCTCCAGCTCCTCCACTCGTTCCGGATAGCATGACTGTTGAACAATTGGTACAACAGGTTGGTCGAGAGCATCTTCTCGTTCTCACTCTGCAACTAACGGACTGAAATCAAACATGCTTAGAATTTTTTTTTAATTTTGTCCTTTTTTCATTATATGTTGCTTGATTCTTAATTTTTTCTTTTTAGGTTCGACCGGTCTCAGAACGGGATAAGCGCCTTCATCATTCGGATGATGTACTCGACCCTCAAAAAAGGTTATCCTACCTACACCGCCTTCCCCCTCGAGGATCAGGAGATGTGGTTCCGTCAGTTTGCGGTATTTATTTTAATTTTTTTTTAAGTTATATTTTTAATCTTTAACATAAATTTCTACTAATTGTGTTTTTTTTTAGCAAGAATTCAACTGGAATCCCCTCCATACGGCCTATATACGTAATGCATTCACCCATAAATTCATGGAGAATTATGGGAAGCAGATCTATGAGTGACACAAGGGAAAGAAACCGAAATTGATCAACGACACGGTGTGGCTCGAGTTGCAAGCACATTAGAAGAAGGCGGAGACGCAAGACACCTCAGACACCAATTCCACCAACCGCAAGAGCGAACGTAGCGGGAAGGGCGCCTACAAGAAAAAATTTGAGTGCTTGCAGTATGTCAACTCTTGGGGATCGACTAGTAAGTCGACTGTTTTTCTTTATTTATTTTATTTTTTCTTTTTAATTTCAATTTTTAATGTTTTTATTAACAAATACTTTTTTCAGGCGGAACAGAATGATGGTGAGTCGGTTGACTCTCGCGTGCTAATGAAGGAGGCGTATATCAACAAGAAGACCGGAGAGATTTCGGATGCCGTTGTGAAGGAGGTGATCGACTTGGTCGAAACCCAGAAGGAAGAAGATATCCAATGCCTATCTCAGCTTCAATCTGACGACGACGGCACTACTGTTGCTTCCACCAACCTGTCTCAAGTTCAAATCAACGAACTAGTTGAGTCGGTAAGATCTTTATTATAATTTACAGTTTAATTTTTACTATTTTTTTCATTTCATCGTCTTTTTCACTATTTCAATTTTATGTTTTCTATTTTTTTCAGGCGGTTTTGAGGAAGAAATGACGTTTGTTCGGGTTGGCTCGTCGCTCCAAGTCAGTTCCTTCTACTTCAGAACCGGCTTTTGTTGATCCGGCAATTATGGAGCAGCTACATAACAAGGATGACCGCATCGTAGCATTGGAGAACCAGAACGCCACAATTCTTACCTAGAACGAGGTCATTCATGCTAAGATGGCAGATCAGCAAAGTGAAGTGGAGGAAACAAAGAAGAAGAACCAAGAGTTGTTGGACATGATGCGACGCCTGTTCCCGCACGAGTTCTAGTTGGTGGTTTTATTTGTTTTTAAAAACTTTGAATGTTTAATTTGTATTTCTATTTTTAAAACTTAAAATATTTTAATATGTTTTCTATTTCAGATTTAATTTTATATTTTCAAGTAATTATTATGTAAATATTTTTTTTAAAAAATAAAACAATTATTATATATTATTTTTTTAAAAAAATAAAAAAATCAGAATTTCCGAGGAAGTGAAGCCGTTGGAATATTCCGACGAAATGTTCCTCGAAAAATTCCGACGGAAAATTTCTCAAAAAATTCCGATGAACATTAGTCGTCGGAATATTCCGACGACACAACTTCCTCGGAAAATTCCAACGGTTCAATTTCCTCGGAATATCCGGAGGATGATCTCCCTCCGTATTTCCGTTGAAAACTTCTGACGGACCTCTTCCGTTGGTTAAAGTCCGATGAAGTATCTGTAGAAATAATCCGATGGATATTGTTCTTCGGAATTTCGTCGGATTATGTGTCCATCGGAAGTCGTCGGTATTTTCTCGGTATCACTACAGAAATTCCAAAAAAATATTTTTTTCCGACGAAATTTTTCCGAGGACCTTTTTCCTCGGAATCTGACTGTTTTCTTGTAGTGGAAATACATCATGTCACGTTATTGATGAACGGATAATACATGATCATTATTCAAAGAAAGGACAGAAGAAAATCAAATGGTTACTCCCACAATACTTTTCATTTCATGGTCAGAACTTTGCCTGTAGATCAATGATAACCCTTGGATCCAACTGAAATGCTCTTGCAAGAACATTTGGGTCAATCACGGGGTTAGACCCGAACACAGAGTTGGCAATAGTGACAACACCTGGGTTTTGGCTGCTCAGAGCAGCGAATGCAACCGCAGGAGAACGTCCGACATTGAATTGGAAATGGATTAGTCCTTCTGGAAACACAAATACATCACCCGTGTTGAGTGTTTTTGTGAACAGACTGTTTCCATCTCCATTAGATGTAACAAATCCTACAAGAAGTGCTCCATGTCCAACATACAGGACCTCGGTGGCACGTGGGTGGGTGTGAGGTGGTTTTGTCCATTTACCCCATAGTCTATACGGACAAGTGAGATTCCAAGTGTTTTTAACCCTGGAAGGTTGTTAACATTAACGGCTGTGACATTTGACCCAACGGCATTAGCTACGGGTCTTGCATTTTGAATCCCTGCCATAAAGAAGTCATCCACGGTGACGAGCTTTGGGTCTTTGCAGAACTTTCCATTCACAAAAACTGATGAGAAAAATAACCAAATAGTAAAGAGTATAACAACTGAGAAATAAGTAAGAAAATAATACGGCAAAACGATTAGGAAGTCATCATCACGTCAGAGCCGGTCCTGTAAAATCCATGACTAGAAGCAAAATTAAAAAAATGGCCGCTCTTGCAGAGAACGAACCTGGGTTATGGTATAAGAATCTGTGACATTCACATTTTACCACTAGACTAACACAAGGTTTTGGAAAATTGTGGCCGAATATAGATTTAAAATTAAACGGCCGGAAGCAACTGCTTCTTAGGCTTGGCCCAAGGGCCGCCTCCGCATCACGTACACCATCTGATGGGTGTTGATGCCGACGCAGAAGTCTTGAAGGGGGCTTGGTCAGAGGCAATGGCTAATGGAAAAGTTAAAGCTAAGAGAGATAGAACTGCAAGAAATGAGAGATTCTTCATGGCCATATATATTAACTTAAGACATTTATATTGTTTCTTAAATTAGATTTTGAGGGAGAGGTAAGAAACTTATGAGATATAGATCTCAATATCTAAATGATTTTTAGGTGCTGAATCCATATATGCATTTACTTGTAAAGCCAAAAGTGCGACAATGTCTTAACTACTTGTTTGAAATAGTTTAAAAAAATATCGTTCTCATGTCTCAACATATATGTTTATTGCAAATGATGCACTTGAAGTTTGAATGGCTTTGTTATGTTTACTGATTCTATTTACTCAACTTGTCACGAACTTATACGTGCTTGTTTAGATAATATACAATGACAAGTTCGGTTGAGTTGACTCGAACAAATTTCAATGTGGATTTGGTGTTTTGGTTTGTTTGCTCCATAAGTAACAAGACATGACTGTATCAACTCAGATACGGAAGTCATATCGGTGTGGAAACTTGGAAGACAAAATTTCTAACATTCGGAGGAATATTTACACTTTTAAATCATAAGTTTACACCAGTAAAAAAAAGAAGCATAACCACGTATTTTTCGTGGCTATAAACCATATATGCTGTATATTTTTGAATTTTTCCCATTACTGTTCTCTCATATCTCAACATATATGTTATATGGGAATGTTATATTGTAGGTAATGAAGCATTTGAAGTTTGAATGGATTTGATTATGTTTACTGATTCTATTTACTCAAATTGTCACGAACTTATAAGTGCTTGTTTAGATAATATACAATGACAAGTTCAGTTGAGTTGACCCGAACAAATGTCAATGTGGAATTGGTGGTTTGGTTTGATTACTCCGTAACAAAACATGATTGTATCAACTCAGATACGGAAGTCAATATTGGTGTAGAAACTTGGAAGACAAAATTTCTGATATTCTGAGGAATTTTTACATTTTTAAATCATAGGTTACACTATTAAAAAGAAGTACAGACTTTTTTCGTGGCTTTTCTTTTTTTTGTCACAACTTTTTTCGTGGCTATATTAAGAGTTAGCCACGAAATTCCCGAAAGAAACGTGGCTATACGTAGCTAAAATAAGCCGTATCAAAATTGTAGCAAAAGGTTATAATTTCCCCACCAAAGTTTTCATGATTAAATCGTGGCAAAAAAAAAGTTTTGTAGATTAGTCACTATTTGAAGAGAGAAAAAGAAATTTGTTTTATAGTTTTAAACAGTGGCGGATCTAAAAACAACATTTGTCCGGGGCAAAATCAAATAAATATGACTATTACATTTACAGTTTCAATTTTCATCAGGGGCATTTTAAAAATTTAGTACAAAATTACACTAATTAAAACAAATCATGGTGGACAAGTACCCCACCTATTCATTAAGAGCATTTTCAATGGTGTTTCATTTTCCATTTTTACTTTATTTTCTACTCTAATGGTACTTCATTTTTTTCTTCATTTCTTCAAATTTTGAAGAATTGAACAGTGTTTCTTCAAATTTGAAGAACTACTGTTCAATTCTTCATTTTTTGAAGATGGACTTTTTTATTTATAAACTAATCCTTAACTTTAATTTATTCTTATTTCGTACTTAACTAAATAATATGTGTTAATGTCATCCAAATACTGTTGAAATTTTATTATTACTTTCATATAATAAATGTTAATAACAAAAAAACCTGTAATTTGTAGGTTTTGAGAATTATATGTTCGACTCAGAAACTTTTTGACTATAATAAGATCATTTTTCATTTAAAATTACTTTGATTAATCACTTCAGAAATAAGTGTTTCTTTATAAAATTTTTATTTTTTGTTTATTTATTTATTTTATGTGCAATAATGTATCATATAATAATTTTCAACTTATAATAAACAGTAATTGTGTTAGATTAATGTTAAAACAAAGTAGATGAGTAAAATTAGAAACATTTGAAAAGTATAAAGACATGTTTATAATTAATAACAAAGTGATAATAAAATATACTTAGAATATTCTCTTTTGAAGAAAAAATTGAAGCAAACCATTGGAGAACATGTTGTTTCATTTTTTGAAGAACTTCAAATTTTGAAGAAAAAAATGAAGTTAACCATTGGAGATGCTCTAAGTAGTTCTGCCCCTGGTTTTAAACCAATTCCAATGGCCGGACGTTTCTACAGTTTCCACATCAACTTATTTAATTAGTTTTACTTATATTTATTTGATTTGTTTTTTTTTAATTATTTGATTTGTTTGATTGCTAATTTATTTGAATCTGGTAAAGATTTTTCTAGATTAGATAGGCAAACTCCGTTCTCCTCCTTGCTGAAAGTCGTGCATTGTGGTCGGCATTGGTCAGATGTGGCAAGGCTTCTCTCTTTAAGCTTTTACTCTTAGTTCACTTTCATTCTCTATTTATGGATTCTTGCCTCAGATTCCGTGGTGAGCGTGGGTTCTCTCCATCTCCTTTTTAGTTTCCTTTGTAGAAACTTTTGAGATTTTTAATTTCAAGTCTCACTTCAAATTTGATCTTTTATGTGAATGATAGTTTCTGAGAAAAGGAGTGATCTATGTGAGAATCTTCGTGTGATTTAAGTAAAAAAATCTCCATCTTCTCACATTTGTCCTTAGGTTTGAATTCTGTCAACCCTTTGTGTATGTTTCTGAAAATAAGTGCAGTGGTCATTATGACCTTCATGTTTCAAGTGTTCAATCATCACCAGCAGATCATAATAGTAATTAGAAAGTAGATATTATACTTAGCAAACCGATCGTTGAGAACTTTACCTTCAATGAACTCAGACTTGGAATTAGAATGCTGGTACACACAACACTGTCCTTATTATTATGTCACTCCAACATCAAATTTCCATTGTTAGATTCTCTGACCTGTTTGTGTGATTTATTATGAGGTCAGACAAAGATCAGCTACTTAGGGCAGTTAAGTCACATAGCTTAGTTAAACTGATTGGTTATTGCTTGGAAGATGAGCAATGGCTTCTTGAGTATGAGTTCATGTTTAAGGGTATTCTTGAGGATCACCTGTTCACAAGTGAACTCTAAATCAAGATTTTAGTGAAACTATCAGGCGATTGTTTGTTCTTATGTTTTAATGGTCTTGAAGCAAATGATGTGCAGTTTAAGCCACTCTCTTTGACCGTATATGCTAAGGTTTCTCTTGATGCAGCTAAAGAGCTCGCACTTCTTCATAGCGACCCAGTTAAAGTCATATACCGAGACACCTTGCTCGAGTCGGTATAATTCCGAAGTCTCAATGCTGTCTTAATGGACATAGAATGGTACTGACTTGGTTCTTTTTTATGACAATAGGACTACAAGGAAAAAAATTCATACATTGGTGTAGAGAGGGGCTGTTCACGTGGAGAAACAACCTATGTAATTACAAGAGTCATGGCTACATGTGGCTATGCGGCTCCTAAGTATGTGTCAACATGTATATTCTATCAATTCTCTTATACCAAACTGTTTCATTGGGAATTTTCAAGAATAGCTAAAGAAGCAAACATATATGATTTGATATGTTTGTGTGATTCTCAGAACGGGATGCTCTTGGATTCGCGACGAAGAGTGCGATTGATAAATAATAATTGAGAAAACAAAAGAGAGCTAAGTCGCCGTGTAAGCGAAGATGCAAATATATATCACTATGGAGAAACTTTTTTCTTAAAAATAATATTTACAGTTTATATTATCACTATGGAGTAACTATTTAAATATTACCGAACATTTAAAAATTTATATTTTACTCTCCATTTAATATAACACTAACTTCCACAATTTTCATTTTATTATTTTTAATAGATTATAAGGTTAATTTATAAATTTTTAGTTTTGAAAGTTTAAATTTCATACTACTTTGATTATAGTAACAAGTAAAATAATTTAAACGTCTGAAAAAAAAAATCTTAAAACATAAATGATGGGATTATTTTCAGCTTTATACATTTATGATAGTTATACACATAGTCAGGACGGTTACGTCAGTATATTTTGAAGAAAAATATACAATAGTCTTACACTAATCACTATATTATTAACAATTAATAAAATACAATAGAAATGCAGACGGATAAAGTATTGTAAAAGATGATCAACGAGTATAAGCAAGTGATCAAACCGAAAATAACTAACATATTATATGACTTTGCATCTCTAAACTGTATTCAATTATCTAACGGTTCTAGCTAATAAGATTTTCATCAACAATAAAGAAACTTGAACTTGATTAAAAAAATAATGAGGCATGTAAAAGGGTAATAACCAAATTAAGATAATATATCTAATTCTTTTTTTCTTTTTTTTTGTAACTGGCTTTGATATATATCTAGTTCTTAGCATTGAATTTCTGTTACACTACTATTTTGGTATTGAAACAAAGTAAGAAGTGGACACCGATTATATAAAAACAAATATTATCTAGCTGTCCCATAAAATTTTGACTACCACATTGATAAAGTATCTAAACTTCACTTGCAATAACTAAAGATCAATGTTATAGTAGTGCAACTCAACAATTACTGAAAGAACAACAACTGAAAACTAAAAGAAAGGAAAAGAAAGCTTGAGTCAAAAAAAAAAAAAAAAAAACTAAAAGACAAGAAAGAGAGATGTTCGCGTATATGATTCCGTTGCGAAGATCAAACAAATATATTATGATTATAAATAAATGAAAATTTTATATTCATGATATTAAATATTTTTTTATGATATTAAGTAAAATCTAAGAATATTTTATTCATGCGAATATAAAAAAACAACCAACTCTCATGTTCAACGAACAAAAATATTAAACATATAAAAAATCCATACAAAATAATATAGTAAAACATTTAGAAAATACATATATAAAAGGCAAACCACATGGGGAAAAAAGAACGAGCTTCCAAAATACAAATGAAACATACATTAATTCCACTTCAACTTTTGTATTGACAAAATGGTAGACCGTGTAAAAACTAATTCGGTTGTGTTTAAATTAATCAAATAAACACAAAGTCGAAAAAATATAATAATTAAAATCGACAATGTGAT